GCGATTATTTTAAACAGTTTTTTTACCGATAAATGTCAGACTAATTTATAATTCTTAATGTAAAAATGAAGATATTTAAAGGGCGTAATATCTCAAAGATTCACCAAACTCTATTCTGAAGTCTAGAGGTCAACGACAATTGTATGCTACTCACAGTTGGGGGCTTAAAGCTTTAGAGGATCCAAAATGCTGTTTACGTTGTATCCCATCTATGTGTATCCCTTATAGAAGGAGACAAAAGTGCTCTCGCCTGTCAGAATTAGTTATTGAAAGATGTGGAGTTTCAATTTTGCCACCTGAATGAACACATAAAGTGTAAGATGATAAGGGAACTGGTAGTTAAATTTTTCAAGAGGTATTCTCAATGCCATGTGAAATTCAATAAGAACTTAAGGTCTACTCATATTATTGTGAAAAAATTCAACTGCAACGAAATAGGGTGAATACATTTCATGTATAAAGGATCTACTAATAATCTTGAAGACCTACTTATAAATGAAAAATTACCATCTTACTGCCCTCTGGCTGGCCACGAAGCACCACCTCGGAAGACAAACCATAGTTTAGCTTTAAACTTGATGCAGTCGTAGTTGTCGTATCTGTATCAGCCGCCTCGAGGCCTCTTACGTGATGAACTTTACTCAAGCCGTTGCCATTATGAAGTTTATAAACTTGGTTGGTGTTGCTGCTACCGCCAACGCCATTGCAAGTGTTGGCAGTACTGATGCTGTCCCTTCCTTCCTCATATTTACTGCCACCGTTGATCAAGCTGCCGGGAATCCCTCCGAAAGCAGAAGCCACGAATCCATTCGTCATACTTGAGGTGGTAGTGGTGAGGGTGGTTTTCAGTGGACAATTAGAAGAGACGGAGCAGACGGAAGAGATCGAAGGCGAAGGACGTGTGGTTGATGCGAAAGAGAGCGAGAGAGGTATGACAGGAGGATGAGACGAAAACCCGTTGGTGGGCGGAAAGCACGACTGAAAGGAGCCGGAGAGAAGGTCAGGACGACTGCCTGTAAAAGTGATCTGTACCTCGTCAAGCGGCAGTGTCGAGCTGACACCGCCGTATGACGGAAAAGGCGGTACGGCGGTAAAAACCTTGAAAGAAAAACCGGGTAAAAAGGAAGGATTTTAGAGCTTTATCTTCAAAATTGTATGCAGAAGAAAAGGCGAAAACATGATACAGTAAATACGTAGATAAACTGAGATTCGATAAATCTCTTGAGATAACATTGTTATGACTTTCATTTCGTATGAAAGTTAATGAAGAAGAGATTCGTTGGTTAATCTCACCAGATGAGGACGGATAAATATCGCTATATTGCAGCCGTTTGGCTTTTATACGATATTCATGTCCACGAGACTTCCTCCTTCGTTTCGGGTGAAAACGTGCTGAGCTTTCGTCCAT